CGAATGATTGGAGAGAACAATGGAAAAAACCTTTTCAATAATCCCAAGTGAGAGTGCGTGTGTGTCTGCACACTTCTCACATGTGTACATACATGCACATACACCACAACATGCATTAGCAAATACATGTGAAGTCCTGGCTTGCTAGTATACAAGGAGTATGTTTTGAGGATTGTGTATGGTAAATGCTCATAAAAATATTGGTACATAGTAACCATCTAACACATCATTAACCAAAGTTTGGGAGCACACACAGCAGAATTTCAATCCTATCCTACCTCCTGTTTTCTGTCCTATCTCTAGACACCCCTTGTTTCTCCATATGTCTAACTTTTCTGCAAGAGCCTCCACTGAGTAGCCAACAGCATAATGTGGTAGAAAGAATGAATGCTGGTGTTCTTGGCCCTAACTTGAGTTCTGGCTTCTCCACAGACTTGGGTAGATGGCACGGGGCAAGTTATGTTCTCTGCCTCGGTTTCCCCTTCTGCAAAGCAGGGACAATAATTGTCATTATAAACAGTTAATGCTGTGAGGATCAGCCAAGTTAACACACTCGTCAAACCATCATCAGTTTGATGTCCCTGATAACTGTTGCAGGTGACAGAGCTACAGAAAAGTTGCTCAGATCCCTGATTCTGTGCTCTTAAGTTGTTTCTATTCCTTGGCTCTCTGTGCTAGCCCCAGGGGGCTTACCCTTGTTTATCTGAATGCCCTAAAACTGCACTGTTAAAGAGGCATCCAGGGCAGGGAGGCGGAAACTTCCCATGGCCATGCTCACCTGTGAGTCCCAGCAGTAAAGCCAGCAGCAGGCAAGGAGACTGGTGGGTCCAGGAGGCAGGGGAAGGCATCCTGGAACTGGAGGAGCCTGCTCTGTCCAAGTGTGTGCTGGGAGCCCAGACTCTGCTCTGTGGAGAGGAGCCCCACCTGTGATACAAGAGGAAGCTCACGTCACTGTGAAATGATGAGGTGTTGACACACTTCCACTGTGAAGCTGGGATGAGAGGGAAGCCTCAAGGTCAGGGGTTACTCGTATGTGTTCAGAGACTTGTGCAGCCTGTAGAAAGAGTGCCTCACCCTCGGGGCCTGTGCTCTTTCCACTTGCTTGTTAGCCCCTCTTCGGGTCACGGTGATTTTCCATTCAGGAGCCCCAGGAAAAGAGAAACACACAGGGATAGAAGCTGTGCCCCACACGCCCATGCCCAGGGCCCTAGGATGTAACTGGCTGGTAGCCAGTTTGTGCCCCTCCACCAAGAGCTGCTCACAGTCCAAGGGGAGGATTACAATAGTGAGAAACTAAGAAAGGTGTTTAAGAAGACATTTGCCTGCAGTGGTCTGTAACTGAGCATCCAGAACACGGAGATGTCATCACTACAGGTGACAAGCGCAAGCTGTCCTTGGAGAGACTGGACTGGCCAAGGCTGACTGGCTAAGGTTCATGGGTTTCATGTGCTTGTGGCTCACTGAAGTTTTGGTGAGGATTTCCTTGCAGTGAGTAGAATTTCCCTTCAGTCCCTTGACACAAATTCAAAAACCCCTCAAGGTATATAATGTAATCATATCAGGGGGGTCTGTTTTTAACTGGGTCTATTGTAACCCCTTCAGGCAATACACTGAAAAGAGCCATAATAAATGTAACAGGGTGATATTGGGGTGATGAGGACAAAAAGTGTGCATGTGAGAGATATGGAGTTGGGGTAACTGAACAATGTATCTTCATCACCCCTAGAGGGGAGACAATAAATAATTTCTAAGAGAGAAATCAAAACATGGCAATGCAAGTGTATTCTCTCTGAGATACGGCAGTAAAATCTAAAACACTCAGTTGAAAGCATTGAAAAGAGTTGCTTCTAGGGGGTGGAAATTGTGGGAGGTTAGGTGAGTCCAGTTTTCCTATTAGAACTTGAGGAACTACTTGACTTTCAAACCATGTGCATATGTGCCTTTGATGTAGGTAAAAACATATTTTTGATCATTAGGTTAATGTTACAAGAGTTACCCCCAAAGAAAACATACCAATAGTACTAGTAGGTGTCCTGTGCTCTTGCTGAATATAAGATCAATACTCTTGTTACAAGGCAGCCCAGATATAAAATGGGTTGCCTGGCTGTGGGTCCTCACCCGTGCGCTTAAAGGGACTTATTAATACTCCGCTGCAGGTGCACACAAAAGGTTAATAAAAGGTTTACAAGGGAAGGGGAAATGAGGGAATGTACAACTCAGGGAGAAAAGAGGGAGATAAAGTCGTAAATGCTTCCTACCCGATCCGCTTATTTGGAAACCGAATGGCACTCTGAGAGCTGGCCGAGAGCCGCAAGCTGGTGGAGAGCCAAAAGGGAGCCCCCCAAGGCCCTCGTGTCTGGTCTTATACCCAACCTGGCTGCTTAACTCCACCCTCAGGTCCCAGCCACCTTCCCTTTGGTGGTGATGGGATTTGTCTTTCCCAATGTCCTGATGGCTTTGGTCTGGAGTGGCAGTGGGGTCCACAAAGCCTGTATGGAATTAGCTCAGGACAGCCTTTTCCCCCTAATACTCTGAACACAATTACGATCCCAAACCACACTCAAGAATCATTGAGAACAGTAATAATACTTATTATGTCCACAGCCTGGAAATTGTTAAAGGTAGCTCTAACTAGAGGCTAATAAAACCATCATGGGAAAACTCTAGAACTATGACTTGAAAAGTCATAAAAGCAAAACTAAAATAGATATATATCATGACTGGGAAAACTCAATCCTGGATTGATGTCAGTTGACTAAAATAATATGTAAATTCAATGCAATCGAATAATAACTCTAAAAGAGTTTTTCTTGAAACTTGACAACGTGATTCTGAGAACACTTGGACCTGAAGTGTCATGACAGTTTTAAATAACAAAAGTGGGAAACTTTGCTCAAAATGGTCTCAAAACTTATTATGTGGACTTATTTTTGTCCATGCAGCTTTGACTAAGAGATGAGTAGCTCAGTGGAAAAAGATCTCAAAGAAGAACCACACAAGTATATGGAAACTTGATATAAAGTGAAGGTGGCTGTGACGATCAGTGAGTCTTGGTAATAAATTATAACATGACTACCACTTGCACACTCAAACACATGCACGCGCATACACACACACACACACACAGCGGATCAGTGTAGCTAGATCAAAAGCATGAATTAAAAAAGCAACGCTTGATCAGAAAGTGAAAACTCTTCTGCACAACAAGGCCCCCAAATGACACAACATCCAGCTCTGCAGGCCACGCTAGAAGGGCGAGGGGTGCTGTCCCGGATGGGGGAGGACACCAAGGTAAGAGTCTTATTGGGAAGTTGTACTTCAAACCACCAGGTAAAGCTTCAATATCCAGAATGAGAAGAATTAATAAAGTGTGGCATAGTCTTCTATTGAAGACTACAGAATAGTGGAAAAATCAATCAATGGAGCTGCATGTATCAAGATGAATAAATCCCACAAACTGTGTTAAGGAATAAACTATAGGAGAACTTCCCGAGTGCTGTAAACTGGATAATTGCATTTATAAAACATTTAGAATATGCAACGTAATATTAAATATTGCTTAAGTATGTGTATCTATGTTATAAAAGCACAATCATATCTGAGGATACGAAACACCAAATTCAGGGTAGTGTTTCTTCAAAGGATCAAAAGAACACGATATTGGGGAGCCTCCCTCGTGGCGCAAGGGGTTAAGCACAGCACTATGAAGAAATCTGCAGCCTCTGCAGCATGAGTTCAATCCCCAGCAGGCCAGGGGCAACCCACATGGTGCGGCAGACCTCTCTTGCCTCGCCAGCTGCTCCCCTCAGCAGTGTGTTTCGCCTGTTCTGTTCCCCACTCTGTCTCTGGTGGATCCACTCAACACCCCCGCATTTCTGGCTTATACCCAACTCTTATATGCATTAATAAATACATCTTAAAAAAAAAGAACATGATATTAGTATTTTGCAAAGATAGACCAGAAACTCCATGAATAATTATAGAGAAATCCTTACATATTTCAGAATAGAATAATGCGTATTCAACCTGTGATCTCAGTACATATGTATGAAAACTTCTTGAGAGTCCAGTCAAGATAGGCTGTGTGCTTGCAGGAATATATCTCTTTCATCTTGGTTGTCCAGTCTGTGGCATGTGTAGCTGATAGCAGTCTCCATGTGCCTCTGTGTTTCTGTGGTTCCTGTTGTAATTTCTCCTCTTCCATTTATATGGTAGTTACTTGAGTCCTCTCCCTATTTCTTGTTGAGTCTAGTTAAAGGTTTTCATTAATTATTATTTTTATCTTTTAAAGAACAGACTTGTCACAGATTTTGAAAATGTCTCTAGAATCCTCATTTCAGTATTTCTGCTTGATGCCTGTCAGCCCCTCCCTCTGCTAACGTGGGGCTCACTTCGTGTGAGAGTCCACTGTCGTGTGAGTGAGGATGTTACATGGAGTCTTTCTTTTCTCTGAATATTCACCTTTAGCCAGATGGCTTCTTTTTACGAATGTCTTGGATGCGTCCTCAGTCACGGGTGGATCAGCCACACAGAGGGCCCCTCTTGAACCCGCTCCTAGTTGAAATGTCACTTCAGGAATTCTCAACTTACTTGAAATTATCACACCTCAGTTATACAATGTCCTTAAAGGGCTACACGGGATGAGATAAAGGCATGCTTGTTATTGAGTCCAAGTGAATTGTACAGTGGTTTTCTCATTAGAGCAAATTGCACGACCTGCCCTCCTTTCCGTTTTCTTCCCTGGCTTGTGGCCGATGATGGTGGAACCAGCTCTGATGCAGTGACTGGCGTCGTCCCTCTCTGGGTCTCACTCCAAGCAGCCCCTTATTCCCATCCCACTGCACTTTGGCCATGTGATGAGAACCAAAAGCTGCTGACTGGGAATTCTGCAGGTGTGCATTCCTGAGAGGATCCTGCATGAAGCCAGCTCTGGGGTCAGCCTGTGAGAAGGGACAGCGGGGTGGGGGTGGGGGGTGGGGGCAGCAGGTCTCTGGGGGAGCAGCCTGGAGAGCAGAGTCTGTGGAGGTTCTTGTCCCTCCTCCTCTAGGCGGGTCCTTCAGGAAGGGAGGAGGTTGCAGAGCTGGAGGCACAGGCAGCAGGGAGGAGGGAGGAAGCTGCGGGAGACATGTCACATTTAATGACCTGCTAGTGCTCAGGACGCACTCCCTGTGTGTCTCTCATGGCTCTGGTGCTGCCCTCTTGGGCAGTCCCCTAGACAGGCCTCTGCACCTCAGCCTTTGCTCTCTCCCTTGTGCTCACCAGCCCTTCCGCGTATCACACAGAGCCTCAGAAACACCTCAGAACAGCAAACCTGGGACTGCTCAACACTCCCCTCATTGTGGAACCTTTCCACCCATGGAGCCCTCATGTTCAAATGATCTAAAGATGGTCTCCAAGGGAACCCCCCACTCAGGCCTCCATTCAGGCCCTTGCCTGTTTCTTCCACAGCACTCAGGGTTCCCCAGTCACTCTGGAACACCCTCTGCAGTTCCCCAAACACTTTCTGGATGCTGGGATGTTTAGAGGGACCTAAGCCTCCTGAGGGTGTTGAGGGAGGTGTGTCAGCTTCTCTTATTTCCCGGGGGCCCTGACCACGTGTGACCTGGGGGCTGCCCTCCTGCTGACCTTGCCCCTCCCAGGACAGACCTTGGCCTGCCCTCCCTCCCCAGGACTTACAGTCAGGCCTTTGCTTCCTGTGCATGTAGGAGGCAGAGACACCCACCAGCAGCAGCACCTTGGGGCTCAGGAGGAGAGCGATGAGGAGTGGCATGGACTGCTCTTTGCCTGGAATTCAAGCCACAGGAGGTGCGATTAGGGGCCACACGGGAGCCCTTCCCTGGGTCTCTAGTACCTACTGGGGCTCCCCTGGTCCGTCAACCCTCTGAAGCTTTAAACCTGCATCCTTCCTGGGATTAAGGCAGATGGTAAGAGCAGGATAGAGAGTGGCAACAACACTTCCCACCCCCACTTTCTCTCGTTCATGCTTACGTCCATGACCTGCAATGCTCGGTTCTGGACACTTAACCTGTGGGCACTCAGGGTGCAGGAAATTGTATGGGGCGGCTCCTTTAAATTCTGTCTATAGCTATATATTCTAGATTATCAATAGAACATGAATTGTAACCTGTAACATTATAAAAACAAGATAAAATATAAAAGGTTGGGTCAGTTGGAGCCCAGGCTTTACCAGAAGTTACATCTGTGTCCTGCTTGCCCTGGTGAGCAGAGGCCGCCAGTGTGAGGGCTTTGGAGACTGCAGGCTTCCCGTCATGCTCCACCTGGCAGGTGAGCACCACATTCCCCCTGTGGGCAAAAGCGTTCACCAGGAGGCAACTCCTGTAGGTGAAGGTTCCATCCTTGTTCTCCAGGAGAATCGAGGGCTTCTCTGTTCGGGACACGTGTCCGTTCTCCAACCAGGTCAGCTGTAGGTTCCGGGGGTAGAACTCCTTCACCTGGCAGGTGACAATCACCTGGTTCCCTGGCGCGGGATACTGGGAAACCTCCAAGGTGGGCGGGACTGTAACAGCACAGGGCAGAAGCTCTGACCTTATGGCACAGATCCCAGGGGAGGGCCCCATCACTTGCCCCCCCCACCGTAGCAGGGAGGTCACCTGGGACATGCTGGGCAGGCAGCCGGCCTCCAACACTGAGGCTCTCTCTGCATGTTCATGTGATCACTAAGCACAGTGCCCAGCACACAGTAGGTGCACAAGAACTGGAGAGCAATAAATGGGAAATCAATAGGTCCCACCTCTGCAGGCAGCAGTGGGATCATAATCACTGTGGCAAATAAATGCCATCCCCAAGCACCTCGGGCAGGGACGCAGGCCGTGCCCTGTCATGGGGTTGCTCTGGGGAAAGTTCGGGAAACTATCTACTCACTGCCAGGCAGTGGGAGGTGCTGCCCTGCAGATGCCTGGAAGACTGGGGGAGTGACCTGCACATGCAGGGCTAGTGATGGCCAAGGATGGCGGGACTGGACTCCGGGACATCTGAGCCTGGAGCGAGTGGGCAGGAGCACTCTGGATCTCAGGCAGGGCTGGGCTGGGGGGGTTCATACCTCGGATGGTCTCAGACAAGTTGGCTGTCCCGCAAAGACTGCCACCCTGCAGGGTGACGTGGGCCACCTCGCAGATGACCTGGGAGCGGACGTCCCCCGGCGCCAGCTGCACCATGGCTGTGCTGAAGACGCTGTAGGAAACGGCCTCTCCTGGGGGGTCCACGTTGGGCCAGGGGGCTGGCAGCTCTTTCCTATTTTTGAACCACTTCAGACTGATGTCTCTGGGGGAGAAGCCGTGGGACTTGCAGGTGAAGGTCACCGTCTGTCCATGGGTGGCCCTCTCTGTGGGTCCCGATACCACAGGGTGAGAGGGTTTGGCTACGAAGAAGCATTTGTAACAATAAGCGTGACTGTGACTCTCACCAAGGATAAGCGGGTGACACTGTTTATAACTTCACTTCATTATTGTTTAGTCTGTAGTGGTGCTGGGGTGTCATCACCCTCATTTAGGGACACCCAGTTTCCCAGAGGTGAACAGGATCAGGGGGTATGAAAGGGTTGCAGGCCTGGGTTCAGAGTCCCCCTCTCTAGCTCTGGGGGATTTCCCATCAGTCTGGGCTCAGGAACAACATGGCCTTGGTCTCTATAGCTGTTCCTGGCATGTCACCCCGGGAGCCTTTCCAAGGTCAGAGAAGCGTTCACAGAAGGAACGCAGGGGCAAAGGGGACCCCGTGGAGGCTGGAACCAGGCTGCCAGCCCAGGAGAGGGGGCCGGGCACCTCCTTTCCTCATCTGTGAAGCGGGACGCAGGCTGTGGCTCCCGGGTGCATGAGGGAAGCAGGCTGAGGAGGCAAGTTACACAAGATAAAGAAACACACATCATGATGAGCAAAGACCTAATATCCCAGCTCTCCCTCCCATGGGAGGGATTTACTCCAAACTTTCCATTCTTTAAACAATTTCTCAAGTAGGTCTCATCTGTGCCCAGCTCTGATTATGAAGCGAGTGCACAGAATAGGGTTCTCCGTCTCCTCAGGGTCCGTTTTGGGTTTGAAACAAGGATCCCTTACACTGAGGATGCCACGGGGGTGGGGGGTCATCTCTCAGTGGTCTTTAAATAAGAGACACATACACAGGCCTAGAAAGTGGTAGAAGTGCCTCCCTCATCCTGGGGAAGGACAGAGTGCAGGGGGCCGCAGGCAGGACATCCCACGTGAGTGACCACTTTGGTCTCTGTTCTGCATCCTTGAGCCTCGTGTGTGTTTCTGTGCAAAGTGCTCAAAGCCCCACCTGGGCAGAGGAGTGAGGATGTGCCCAGCATGGGCGGGTTCACAGCAGGTGCTGACAACCAGCTCCTGTGGCTGCTGTCCCTGTCCTGGTCACCACCCAACAGAGACTGTCTGGGGTTGGGGGAAGCAGTAGGGGACACACCCAAGGAAGTGGCAAGTCCTGCAGCTGCTCTGAAGAACCCCATTGAGGAAAGCAGCGGAAACCACCGATGGTGATTCTCTGCCTCTAGTTGTTACAGGCCCGCTAGGAAGCCGTTTGGGGAATGACACCAACACATAAATGAGATCCAAGGTGTTTTCATGGAGATTTCTCTTTCTGAAAGCTGCAGCACTTTGAAAGGAAGGGGGACAGACGTTCTCAGTGACATCTTGGGGGTCAGGCGGAAGGGCTCTGGGGATGCCAGCTCCTATGGCAGCCACCTCAGCTCCCATTTAATTGTTTAGAGGTTTGAGGTCTTCCCAGCAATGAAGCTGGGACCTAAACTGGGTGCCTGGGCATCCTCCTCGGGCCCAGAGGGTAGGACTCCAACCCCAGTGAGATGAGCTCTGTGGGGCTCACAGGGCCTCCATGAGCTGCCAGCACATGGGTTCAGAAGCAGCACACCCAGAAAAGTTGCTCACGGACACAGGAGCCCAGCAAGCACTTGTAGGGGGAAAAATGCAACTTTTCTTCAGTCACCTGAACTGTGGAACTGGAAAGTCTGAGGTTCCAGACCTCACCCCCATTTCTTAGCCATACAACCTTGAACCTCTACTTTCCCAGTCTGTAGAAGGGGGTGAATCAAGCCATGTAGACCAGCACCCACATCCACGCCTGACTCTTAGCTGTTGCTCACAGAAAGGAGGGCGAGACAGTGACCTGCTGCCACACGCGGGCGGGGGGCCCCCATGGTACTCACCACTCACGGTGACCTGCGTGCCTGGTCCCGACTTCACTTCTGTGTCAGGGCTCCCTTTCTGGAACTTCACACAGTAGTAGGCCCCAGTGTCTGCTGTGGTCATGCTACTGATGCGGATGGAAAAGTCCTTGTTGTCTCTGATTGTGACATCTGAGACAATGGTTACTCGGGGGAAGGGGCCTTCGTCTTTTGCTCCTCCTCTGAAACTGTAGACTAACTGCCGGCCTAGACCCGACCCCCTGAACCACTTAACAGGCCCCACAGGGAGCAGGGAGGTCATGGTGCAGCGCAGAGTGGCCGTCTCTCCGGCTGCCACCGACACGGACTTGTCAGGCTGGATCACCTGCAGCTCCTCGCAGGCTGCTCCTGCAGGGAAGCAAAGTGGTTCCTCATTCATCCTGCGGGACCCAGCGGGCTTTCTCAAGCACTATTGCAAGGACCCGCTGACAAGTGCTCCCCTTGGAGGTCCCTGAGGTCTGTATATGGGGTATCATCACCTGGAATCCCCACAATGAGCCTGTAATGAAGAAACTGAGGTACAGGGAGATTCCAAATGAGGAAACTGAGGCACGAGGAGGTTGAGGCGGCAGGCTTGGTGCCTGAGGCCTCTCTGGAAGGGTCATGCTTAACCGATACTTTGTGGATACTTTGGGTTTCAGGAGATGTTGCATTTTCAGTCTTTTACCTTGATGGGCCATGAGAGTCTTGAGACCATCAGTTTGTGAGCAGAGGTGATGGGTGTGTTTGTAGGATGTGATTGAATTGCAAGAAACTCTGTCGGTGAAGCAACCTCTTCCAGAGATCATGTGCTCTGAAACGGGCTGTTGCCTGGCCTGGGTGTTTGAATGACCATGAGGTGTTGAGTTCCCTACGTGCAATGAACGAGGTATTTAAAAAGAAGGAAAACACAGTCTCAAGTGTGGAATATTTTCCAATTCCGTGATGATGGTACATTAGTGTCTATTACTGCTATAAATGTTTTTCTAAAAGTCAATGGCTTAAAATAACAAATTTCCATTAACAAATGAAGGCATAAACAGAATGTGTCATAAATAATGGAATAGTACTCAACCCCAAAGAGTAATGAGATCACAATATGTCCTCTGACGTAGATAAACCTTGACAGCGTTTTACTAATTGAAATGAGCCAGAAAGGAAAGGGCTGATATACAGTTCTAATTATGGGAAGGAGTTAAAACAGGCAAATTCATAGAGACAAGTAGAGTGTAGGGGTGACCTTGGGCTGCTGGGGAAGATTAATAGGGAATTTATTGTTTAATAGGTACAGCATTTTCTCCCAGTATGTTCAAAGTATTCTGAAGTATATCGTGGTAACAGTTTGAAATATTGTGAATGTGAATTATAACCTAAAAAATGGTTCAATGGTGTGTTTTATGTTATATATGTTTTGCCACAATAAAAAATATGTGGTCAGGCAAGGTGACTACCTTGACTCATTCCTTTGAGCTGGACTAAGTGGCTCAAGGCTGGGGACTTGCTCTAGAAGGTGGAGATGGAACCAGCTGGCAAGACAGCAAGGAGGGAGTCAACTTCCACTTGTGTTTGAAAAGAACCATGTGGGGTGCTCATGTTGGGACCCTGGGTCGTGAGCTTCAGGGACAGGAGGGGCCCGTGGTCATCTACCTGCAGGTGCAGGACTTTGCAGTTCACTTCACTGCAGCTGCACTAGCCGGTTTCTGGAGACACCAGAGAAATGAGAGAACATTCCTTTGTGTTGAAACTGTCCTTAAACAGGCATGGGCTCAGGTGGCAGGGCAAAGACTATAAATCAGAGGAGCAAGCTGCTGTTGGACTCAAATAAATCCCCTGAATTTTTTTTAATTTTTAGAAGAAAATTTGCACCTTGCAGAGTGTGAGCTGGGAAGACCCACCCACCTCGCACCCTTTGTTACAACACGCCTAAGGAGACACAGGCTGTAGAGGGCGCGACTGTTAGTGTGTCTCGATAGTGGACGAGGTGGTTAATTTCAAGGAGATTTGGGGGGTTTGGGGTAGAAAAATAGGAAGAAATAAGAATGAATCTGAAGGGAGAAATGGAGGAGGGAAAGATCAGTCAGCGGGAGCCACGGGATGGGAAAGCTGTCATTCATGTCTCTGTGGCTCTTGCATTTTCCTCTCTGCCCAACCTTTCCCCTGAAAGCTGGACTTGTACAGCCAAAGCACCCTGGACATGGTGCTTTGATGGAAAACACAGCTCACAGTTAACAGGTCTGAGTCCCCTGAGGCCCCTTATTCTTCCAGAGTCTCAGGTCCACACCCTTGTCTCTTTCTCTCCCATACAAATGCTGCAGGTCAGAGAATCTGTTGCTTCACTTCATGATGTGGCTAAGGTCTGACCTCGCCTGTCTCCACAGCAGCCATTCTCGTGCACTGGTGTTCCCTGTTTCTCCGTGAAATGACCTCTTAAATGTTCTAGTTACTTCTCTGTCCAAGTGCTAGCATGATTAAAACTAATGTCAGATCATCACTTCTTTCTGTAGATTTTTGCGATGGTGACCACTCACGGGAGCCCATATCCTTGAGCAGAACAGAAAAGTCTCCTCACAGGGTCTTTGCCATGCTGGTCCCTGTCAGGAAGTTTCTTCCCCCAAAATGCACCTGATTCATCCCACACCACCTTTCAATCTGTGCTCAAGTTTCTCTTTTCAGTGATACCCACCAACACTGTCTTTTAAAATACACCCCGCTACAGATACTTGCAGTTCTCATATGTAGGAATACTTTTTTTTTTTTTAAGATTTGTGTATTTATGCATACAAGAACTGGGGTACAGGCCAGATTTGGGGGGCTGAGAGGATTCATCAGAGACAGAGTGGGGAACAGAACAGGCAGATTGACTGAAACACACTGCTAAGGGAAGCAGTGGGGGAGTCAGGAGAGGTCTGCTGCGCCATGTGGGTAGCTCCCTGGCTGGGGATGGAACTCGTGCTGCTGTGGCTGCAGACAGCTTCATAGGTTGCATCTTATCCCCTTGCACCATCAGGGAGAACCCATACTTTCATGTGTTGCCCTTAACACTGATCCTACCCTAAAACACTATATTTTGTACTTATTTAGTGTGTCTATTGTGTCTGTCATTTCTGCCACTAAGACATAACTCCAAAAGGGCAACAACTTTGTCTCTTCTATTTAGCAACACACATCTCATTCCTGTAACAGCTTCTGACACATAGTAGGTGTGCAATAATTGCTTGTATCATGTGACTGTCCAGTGCTACACCTTCCTGAGACCCCAATATCTATTTTGAGTATTAATCCCATGAGTTTCCCATGGAGATGACTTGGTCAAAGACATATATAACTTCCAGGAAGAGGAAGAACCCAAGAGAAGAAAGTCACAAATCCTCTTTCCCTCACTGCCTCTTACTGGACCCATGCACAGAAGCTGCAAAAAGCTCCTGGGGTGGAAATGGGTCACACAGAACCGAGAAGGGTAGTGGTTAACCCAGGAACTCTACAGTCAGACCGTGTGAGCTAAAATTGCAGCTCTACCATTTAGTTTGAGTGAACATAAACCTTTCTGTGCTGCTCATCTGTAAGGAGGGGGGGATTAGAGGAGATCCCTAAGAGATAATGATCACAAGAGATGACAACTCCAGGCCTTTCCAACTGTGTCTGGTACATGGTGAGGGTTCAAGAAATTGAAGTGATTTTACTCATCAGATTTCCTGAGGCTGAGAGGCTTCTGGGGACATAGATGACAGAGATAGGAGTGCAGCTAGAATCACACACGGGGATCATTGCTCTGTATCCTTCAGGAACCTGCACCTCCCCCTTCTTGTCTCCTCAGCCCATCCAGCATGGAGGAGGGCCTCCAAGGAGGAATGCACAGAATTCCACTCACAGATTTCCTGAGGCCTGAACGGACACTGGATGACAGCGCATGGGGAGAGGTGCAAACCCAGATGTGGGCGCAAGGACAGATGGAGACGGTCTAGGTGAGGCTCTGTGTTTCCATCCCCTTCTTTCCTCCTCACCCCCTTGCAGCACGAGGGCAGGACTCCAAGAAAATCATGCACACACTTTACTCTCTTACCAGGGAAAAGATTCTTTTTGTCTAATAGTTTAGGGAAGAAGAAGGGGAAATTTTAGAGAAGTAGAAGAGGAAGAGAGTAGAGAGACTCTAAAAACTAAACTTTTGTTAATGTGCACTTCATGCAGACTGAAATGATTGGAGAGAACAATGGAAATAACTTTTCAAAAATCCCATGAGTGTGGGTGTCTGCACACTTCTCACACCTGTACGTACTTGCACATACACCACAACATGCATTTGCAAATACATGTGAAGAGCTGTCCTGGCTTGCTAGTATACAAGGAGTAGGTTTTGAGGATTGTGTATGTTAAATACTCATTCAAAATATTGGTATATGGCAACCATCTAACATATCATTAACAAAAGTTTGTGAGAACATAAGCAGAATTTCAACCCTGTCCTACCTCCTGTTTTTTGTCCTATCTCTATTCTGCTTGTTTCTCCATATGCCCAATTTTTCTGCAAGAGACTTCACTGAGTAGCCAACAGCATAACATGCTAAAAAGAATGAATTCTGGAGGTCTTGGCCCTAGACTTGAATTCTGGCTTCTCCACGGACTTGGGTAGATGGCATTGGGCAAGTTATTCTCTCTGCCTCAGTTTCCCCTTCTTCAAAGCAGGGACAATAATCATTGTTATAAACAGTTATGTTGTGAGCATCAGCCAAGTTAACACACTTGTCAAACCATCATCTGTTTTCATGTCCCTGGTAACCGTTGCAGGTGACAGAGCCACAGAAATGTTACTCAGATCCCTGATTCTGTGCTCTCAAATGATGTCTAGTCCTTGGCTCTCTGTAGTAGCCGCAGGAGACTTACCGTTGTTTCCCTGAATGCCCTAAAACTGCACTGCTAAAGAGACATCCAGGGCAGGGAGGGGGGAATCTTCCCATGGCCATGCTCACCTGTGAGTCCCAGCAGTAAAATCAGCAGCAGGCAAGGAGACTGGTGGGTACAGGAGGCAGGGGCAGGCATCCTGGATCTGGAAGAGTCTACTCTGTCCGGGTGTGTGCTCGGAGCCCAGACTCTGCTCTGTGGAGAGGAGCCCGGCGTGCAATACAAGAGGAAGCTCATGTCATTGGTGAAATGATGAGGTGTTGACAGATTTTCACTGTGAAGCTGGGATGAGAGGGAAGCTTCAAGGTCAGAAGCTTCTCATATGTGTTCAGGACTTGTGCAGCCTCGTAGAAATAGTGCCTCAAGCTTGGGGACTGTGCTCTCTCCACTTGCTTGCTACCCCCTCTTGGGGTCTCCATGATTCTCCATTCAGGAGCCCCAGGAAAAGAGGATCGCCACAGGGATACATGCTGTGTTCCACACGCCCCTGCCCAAGGTCCTAGGATGTGACTGACTTGGAGCCTGTCTGTGCCCCTCCTCCAAGAACTGCTCACATTCCAAGGGCCCACTGGGGATTATAATAGTGAAAAGCTAGGAAAGGTGTCTAAGAAGACATTTGCCTGCAGTGGTCTGTAACTGAGCATCCAGAACATGGAGATGTCATCACTACAGATGACCAGAGCGAGCTGTCCTGGGAGAGACTGGACTGGCCAAGGCTCCCTGAAGTTTAGGTGAGGATTTCCTTGCAGTGAGTAGAATTTCCCTTTAGTCATTTGACACAAGCTCAAAAATCTTACAAGGTGTAGAATGTAGAGGGGTCTGTTTTTAACTGGGGCTAGTGTGAGTCCTTCAGGCATGTACTGAAAAGGGCCATCGAAAATATAACAGGGTGATATCAGGGTGATGAAGATAGAAAGTGTGCATGTGAGAGGTTGGGGTAACTGAATAGTGTATCTTCATCACCCCTTGTGGGGAGACAATAAATAATCCCTAAGAGAGAGAAATCAAAACATAGCAATACAAGTATATCCTCTCTGAGATATGGCAGTAAAATCGAAAAAACTCAGTTAAATCATTGAAAAGAGTTGCTTCTGGGAGGTGGACATGGTGTGAGGTTAGGTGACCCCAGCTTTCCTATTAGAACTTGTGGAACTACTTGACTTTCAAACCGTGTGCATATGTGCCTAAGATGTAGGTATCCTATGCTTTTGCTGAATCGATGCTCTGAACACAATTACAATCCCATACCACAGTCAAGAATCAGTGAAAACAGTAATAATACATTTTTTGTGTCCACAGATTAGAAATTGTTAAAGATAGCTCTAACTAGAAACTCATAAAACCATCATGGGAAAACTCTAAAATTATAAATAGAAAGTCATAAAAACAAAACTAAAATAGATGTATATCATGAGTGGGAAAAGTCAGTACATGAAAGATACCAGTTGACTAAAAAAATCTGTAAATTGAATGTGATCAAATAATTCTAAAAGGGTTTTTTTGAAACTCGACAAAGAGATTCTAAAATCACTTAGACCCAAAGAGTCGTGACAATTTTAAATAGGAAAAGTGGGAAACTTTGCTCAAAGGGGTCTTAAAACTTATTACAAGGCCATTCTTCTTGAGAAACAAGTAGCTCAATGGAACAAAGTCTGCATCAAAACAACCACAGGTGTATATGGAAACTTGATAGAAAGTGAAGGTGGCTGTGAAGGTCAGTGAGTATTGGTAATAAATTATAACATGACTACTACTGCACACACACACACACACACACACACAGCCGAGCAGTATAGCTAGATCAAAAACAAATTAAAAAGGCAACACTTGATCAGAAAGTGAGAACTTTTTTGCACAACAAGGCTCCCAATTGACACAACATGCAGCTTTGCAGGCCATGCTAGAAGGGCGAGGGGTGCTGTCCCAGATTGGGGAGGACACCAAGATAAGAGTCTTATTGGGAAGTTGTACTTCAAAGCACCACGTAAAGCTTCAATATCCAGTATGAGAAGAAATATAAATTGTGGCATATTCCTCAATAGGAGACTACAGAGCAGTGGAAAAAGCAGTCATATAATATCCTTCAAGGGCTACGCGGGATGAGATGAAGGCATGCTTGTTGTAGAGTCAAAGCGAGTTTTAATGTGGTTTTCTCATTAGAGCAAATTGCACGACCTGCCCTAGTTTCCGTTTTCTTCCCTGGCTTGTGGCCGACGATGGTGGAACCAGCTCTGATGCAGTGACTGGCGTCGTCCCTCTCTGGGTCTCATTCCCAGCAGCCCCTTGTTCCCATCCCACTGCACTTTGGCCATGTGATGAGAACTGAAAGTGGGTGATTTGGAATTCTGCGGGTGTGCATTCCTGAGCGGACCCTGGATGAAGCCAGCTCTGGGGTCAGCCTGTGAGAAGGGACAGCAGGGTGGGGCAGCAGATCTCTGGGGGAGCGGCCTGGGGAGCAGAGTCTGTGGAGGCTCTAGTCCCTCCTCCTCTAGGTGGGCCCTTCTCATGACTCTGGTGCTGTTCTCTTGGGCAGTCCCCGAGACAGGCCTCTGCATCTCAGCCTTTGCTCTTGCCCCTGCGCTGACACCACAACCCTTCTGCACATCACACAAAGCCTCAGAAACACCGCAGGGCAGCAAACCTGGGACTGCTCAACACTCCCCTCATTGTGGAACCTTTCTACCCACAGAGTCCCTAGAGATGGTCTCCAAGGGAGCCCCCCACCCAGGCTCTCCATTCATCCCTTGCCTGTATCTTCCACACCACCCAGGGCTCCCCAGTCACTCTGGAACACCCTCTGCAGTTCCCCAAACACTTTCTGGATGCTGGGAATGTTTGAGGGACCTAAGCCTCCTGAGGGTGTTGAGGGAGGTGTGTCAGCTTCTCTTATTTCCTGGGGCCCTGACCACATGTGACCTGGGGGCAACCCTCCACCTGACCTTGCCCCTCCCGGGACAGACCTTGGCCTGCCCTCCCTCCCCAGGACTTACAGTCAGGCCTCTGCTTCCTGTGCATGTAGGAGGCAGAGACACCCACCAGCAGCAGCACCTTAGAGCCCAGGAGGAGAGCGATGAGGAGTGGCATCGACTGCTCTTTGCCTGGAAGACAAGGGACAGGAGGCGCCATTAGGGGCCACACCGGAGCCCTTCCCTGGGCCTCCACTACCCACTGGGCTCCCCTGGTCCATCACCCTCTGAAGCTTGAACCTGCGTCCTTCTCTAGATTAAGGCAGAAATCAGGGTAAAGAGCTTCCCAAGGTGCCGGAGGGTGATGACCGTGCTCTACTGATTATGAACATGAGGTTCAGAGAGTTGAGGAGGCCCTTTAAGAGCAGTGTGACCAAAACAAGGAAAATCCATCACTGTTGTCTGGTAGGATGATGCCAGATTTGCTCTTTGCACAAGAAGACTCAAACCTCAGGGTCTCGGGAGTGACTGACCATGGTGCAAGGAGAGTGCAGGCAGCTCCGGGGTGAGGGAGTCCAGGCCACCGGCTCCCCAGGGATGGTCTCCACAGTTTGGGGGGCCCTCCGGTGTCTGACCTGTCAGAACAGCTGGTGGGTGAGGAATGGGGCTGATGTTTGGGTGGGGCTACAATTGGGCCCTGGTGGGAATTGCAGGACCTGAGATGTGGGGTGGAACCTCAGGGCCAAATCACTGGGGCCCCTTCTGTCCACTGGCGCGGCCAAGGACAGTGCAGAGAGCAGCTGCTTCTCTGCAGAAATGGTCTCTGCAGCCAACAGCTACTCAAAGGGGGAAAATTAAACCACACCCGCCACTCTGTTGCTCCTTGACTCCTTTTTCTATAACTCTAAAACCGCAGGGTATTGACGTGGACATGAAGTCACAGGGAACTAAATCTTGCACGTCATGTATTTAAGTGAGTTCTTGTGATGTTTGCTGGCCCACGTCAGCTCCAGACTCACACTCCACGCCCAGGGAGACCGGCCACTACTTCACAGACAGAGGCGCAGCTCAGTCGGTGATGTTGATCATTGGGGTGTAGACACCGGCACAGACTAGAGTGTCAACAGAGCTTGGGGAGCCAGGAGGGGTGGCTGACCTGGCTGTTGCAGTCACTATGGGGGGCAGATGGTAAAAGCAGGCCTGAGAGTGGGAGATCACCTCCAATCCCCACTTTCTCTCTTTGAGCTTACGTCTATGACCTGCAATGCTCAGTTCTGAACACTTGACCTGTGGGCACTCAGGGTGTGAAAATTGGGATGAGGCGGCTCCTTTATATTCTGTTCATAGCTGTACATTCTAGATTATCAGTAACACATGAATTGTTACCGGTGGCACTAAAAATTAAGATAAAATGTAAAATGTTGGGTCAGTTGGAGCTGAGGCCTGACCTGAAGTTACACCGGTGTCCTGCTTGTCCTGGTGAGCTGAGGCCGCCAGGGTGAGGGCTTTGGAGACCGCAGGCTGCCCGTCATGCTCCACCTGGCAGGTGAGCACCATATTCCCCCTGTGGGCAGAAGCGTTCACCAGGAAGCAGCTCGTGCAGGTGAAGGTCCCATCCTTGTTCTCCAGGAGAGTCGAGGGCTTTTCTGTTCGGGACACGTTTCCGTTCTCCAACCAGGTCAGCTGTAGGTTCCGGGGGTAGAACTCCTTCACTTGGCAGGTGACAATCACCTGGTTCCCTGCCGCGGGATACTGGGAAACCTCCAAGGTGGGCGGGACTATAACAGCACAGGGCAGAAGCTCTGACCTTATGGCACAGATCCCAGGGGAGGGGGGGGCCTGTCACTTGCCCCATCTCAGCAGGGGTGTCACCCGGGACATGCTGGGCAGGCAGCCGGCCTCCAACACTGTGGCTCTCTCTCCATGTGTGTGTGATCACTACGCACAGTGCCCTGCATACTGTAGTTGCACAAGGACTGGAGGGTAATAGGAGGGAAATCAACAGGCCCCGCCCCTGCAGGCAGCACTGGGATCACAATCACTGTGGCAAATAAATGCCACCCCCAAGCACCTGGGGCAGGGCTGTAGGGGGTGCCGGGTGGTGGGGTGGCTGTGGGTAAAATTCGGGAAACTACCGCTCACTTCCAGGCACGTGGGAGGTGCTGCCCTGGCAGCTGCCGGCTAGACTGGGGGAGTGACCTGCACATGCAGGGCTGGTGATGGCCAGGGACAGTGGAACTGGACTCAGGGACATCTGTGCCTGGAGAGAGAGGGGAGGAGCAAATTGAGTCCCGGGCAGGGCTGGGCTGGGGGGTTCACACCTCGGATGGTCTCAGACAAGTTGGCTGTCCCGCGAAGACGGCTGCCCTGCAGGGTGACGTGGGCCACCTCGCAGATGACCTGGGAGCGGACGTCCCCCGGCGCCAGCGGCACCGTGGCTGTGCTGGAGACGTTGTAGGAAACGGCCTCTCCTGGGGGGTCCACGTTGGGCCGGGCGGCTGGCAGCTCATTCCCATTTTTGAACCACTTCAGGCTGATGTCTCTGGGGGAGAAGCCGTGGGACTGGCAGGTGAAGGTCACCGTCTGCCCAGGGGTGGTCCTCTCTGTGGGTCCCCATACCACAGGGCGAGAGGGTTTGGCTGCGAAGGAGCATTTGTAACAATAAGCATGACTGTGACTCCCACCAAGGATAAGCGGGTGACACTGTTTATACTTCACTTCATTATCATTTAGTCTCTAGTGATGCTGGGTGCAGGAAGACATGACAATTAAGGGTGTCATCACCCTCATTTAGGGACACCCAGGCTCCCAGAGGTGAACCAGGAACAGGAGATGATGACATGGTGCAGGCCGGATTCAGAGTTCCCCTTCTCTCTCCAGGGGATTTCCAGAGTCTGGGCTCAGGAACAACATGACCCCAGTGTCTATAGCGGTCACCCTGGGAGGCCTTCCAAGGTCAGAGAAGCATTCACAGAAGGAATGCAGGACATGGGGGCCCCGTGGAGGCTGGCATAAGCCTGACAGCCCTGAGAGGGTCCAGGCACCTCCCTTCCTCATCTGTGAAATGGGGGGCAGGCTCTCTCTCTGGGGTGCATGAGGAAAGCAGGCTGCTGAGGCAAGTTTCAGAAGATAAACTCAGATGAGTAATAAGCACAAGTCTGGTCTCCCAGCTCTCCCCATGGGCGGGGAAGGATTTACTCCAAACTTTCCATTTTTTAAGCAATTTCTCAAGTAGGTCTCATCTGTGCCCAGCTCTGATTTTGAAGGGAGGGGTCAGAGGGCTGTGAATTGAGGTTCTCCTACTCGGGGTCAGTTTTGGGTTGGAAACAAGGATCCGTGAGCCTGAGGGAGCCAAGGTGGGCATCTCTCCGTGGTCAGGGCTAGAGAGAGGCAGAAGCGCCCCCCTCATACTGGGGAGGTGCAGAGCCCAAGTCTCCCCACCCAGGACGGACCTCATGAGTGACCCCCTTGTGTCTCTGTTCTGTGTCCTTGAGCCTCCTAGTGTGTTTCTGTGCAAAGTGATCAAAGCCCCACCCGGGCAGAGGAGTGAGGATGTGCCCAGCACGGGCGGGTTCACAGCAGGTGCTGACAACCAGCTCCTGTGGCTGCTGTCCCCGTCCCGGTCACCACCCATCTTGGGGTGGGGGGGTAGCAGCAGGGCAAACACCCAGGAAAGTGGCAAGTCCTGCTGCTGCTCTGAAGACCTGATTAAGAAAAGCAGCAGAAATGACTGCTGGTGATTCTCTGCTTCTTCTTGTCACAGGCCCGCTAGAGAGATGTTCGGGGAAATGACACCAACACACAAATGAGATCCGAGGTGTTGTCATGAAGATTTCTCTTTCCGGAAAGCTGCAGCACTTTAAAAGGAAGGAGGACAGATTTTGTCAGGGACATCTTGGGGGTCAGGCAGAAGGAACCTGGGGATGCCAGCCCCTATTGGCAGCCAACTCAGTTCCCATTTAAATGCCATTCAGAAGCAGCACATCTCGGAAAGTTTTTCACATGGACACTGGAGCCCAGGAGATACTTGCTAGTAGGAAAAAAATGCATCTTTTCTTCATTTACCTGAACTGTGGAACCAGAAAGTCAGGTTCCAGACCTTACCCCATTTCTGAGCCATGCAGCCTTGAGCCTCGACTTTCCTGGTCTGTAGAAGGGGGTGAATCAAGCCATGTAGATCAGCACCCGCCACCACGCCTGACTCTTAGCTGTTGCTCACAGAAAGGAGGGCGTGACAGTGACCTGCTGCCACACGCGGGCGGGGGGTACCCACGGTACTCACCACTCACGGTGACCTGCGTGCCTGGTCCCGACTTCACTTCTGTGTCAGGGCTTCCTTTCTGGAACTTCACACAGTAGTAGACTCCAGTGTCTGCTGGGGTGATGTTGCTGATGCGGATGGAAAAGTCCTTGTTGTCTCTGATTGTGACATCTGAGACACTGGTTACTCGGGGGAAGGGGCCTTCATCTTTTACTCCTTTGAAACTGTAGACTAACTGCCGGCCTGGACCCGACCCCCTGAACCACCTGACTGTCCCCACAGGGAGCAGGGAGGTCAGGGAGCAGCGCAGAGTGGCCGTCTCTCCAGCTGCCACCGACACGGACTTGTCAGGCTGGATCACCTGCAGCTCCTCCTCGCCGGCTGCTCCTGCTGGAAAGCAAAGCAGTTCCTTGTTCATCCTGTGTGACCCTGAAGGCTTTCTCAAGCACTATCACAAGGACCCGCTGACAGTGCTCACCTTGGCGGGGGCGGGGGGGGGGGGCTGGGCTCAACACATGTGGGTCATCACCTGGAACCCCCACAAGGAGCCTGTAATGTGAGGCTGTTCCAAATGAAGTGGCAGGTTTAGTGCCTGAGGCCTCTCTGGAAGGGTCATGATTCACCAAATACTTGCTGGACACTTTGTGGTGTCAGGACATATTGCATTTTCAGTTCTTTAACATGATGGACCAGGCGAGTCCTGAGACCATTGGTTTGTGAGTGGCAGTGATGGGTGTGTTGGTAGGATGTCCTTGAACGGCAAGAAACTCTGTGCGTGAAGCAACCTCTTCCTGAGATCACATGCTTATGGAAGGGGATGTTCCCTGGCCTGGATGCTTGAATGACCAGGAGGTGCTGAGCTCCCGACACACAATGAACGAGGTATTTAAAAAGAAGGAAAACATAGTCTTAAGCCTGGAATTTTTTTTTCCAATGCCATGATCATGTGTATTAGTGTCTATTACTTCTATCATTTTTTCCCAAAACTCAATGGCTTAAAACAGTGAATTTCCATTAACAGATGAGGCATAAACAGAATGTGGCTTAAATAATGGAATATTACTCAGCCCTAAAGAGCAATGTCCTTTTATGTAGCTAAACCTTAACAATATTTTTCTAAAAAAATATGAGCCAGACAGAGTAGGACTGATATACAGTTCTAATTATAGGCAAGAATTAGAATAGGCAAATTCATACAGAGAAGTAGTAGGATGGAGGCTATCTGGGGTTCTGGGATAGAATGATAGGGAATTTATTGTTGGATGTGTACAGAGTATTCTCCTAGGATGTTGAAAAGATTGTGAAGTGCATCTTGTTAACAGATTGAAATAGCGTGAATGTACTTGCGGCCACTGAATTATAACCTAAAAAGTGGTTCAATGGTATGTTTTATGTGTGTTTTGCCACAATAAAAAATATTTGGTCAGGCAAAGTGACTACCCTGATTCATGCCTTTGAGCTGGGCTAAGTGGCTCAAGACTGGGGACTTGAGAACCCTGCTCTAGAAAGTGGAGATGGAAGCAGTGGGCAAGACAGCAAGGAGGGAACCGACCTCAGGCTGTGTTTGAAATGAACCATAGGGGGTGCTCCTGTGGTGACCCTGGGTCGTGAGCTGCAGGGACAGGAGTGGCCCGTGGTCATCTACCTGCAGGTGCAGGACTTTGCAGTTCACATTCACTGCAGCTGCACTAGCCAGTTTCTGGAGACACCAGAGACATGAGAGAACATTCCTTTGTGTTGAAACTGTCCTAAAACAGGCCTGGGCTCAGGTGGCAGGGCCAGGACTCTAAATCAGAGGAGCAGATTGTTCTCGGACTCAAACAATTCTCTACTTTTTTTTTTTATTTCTTAAGAGAAAATTTGTGGTTCGCATTTGTGGAGTGTGAGCTGGGAAGGCCCATCCACCTTGTACCCTTCATGGTGAACATGCCGCCTAAGGAGGGACACGCTCTTGGTAGGGGGAGTCCTATGGTGTGTCTGGAACACGGAGGGGGTGGTTAATATTAAGGAGGATTTTGGGGGCGTGGTGTAGACAAAAATGAGAAGAAATAGGAATGAATCTGGAGGGAGAAATGGAGAAATAGAGTAGAGGGAAAGAAGGTCAGATAGTAGCCGGAGCCACAGGTGGGGAAGTGTCATTAGAGTCTCTGTGGCTCTGCATTTACATCTCTGCCAGACCTTTCCCCTGAAATTGGAGTCCAATTTGGCCAAAGCACCCTGGACATGGTGCCTGGATGGAAAAGCACAGCTCACAGTTGACAGGTCTCTCTATGTCCCATGAGGCCCCTTATTCTTCCAGAGGCTCAGGTCCAAGCATTGGCTCTTTCTCTCCCATCCAAAGGCTGCGGGTCAGAGAATATGTTGATGCTTCATCATGTGTCTAAGGTCTGACCTCACCCGTCTCTACAGCAGCCGTCGTCGTGCACCGGTGTTCCTTGTTTCTCCATGAAATGACCCCTTAAATGATCTAGTTGCTTCTCGTCCAAGTGCTAGATGATTAAAGCTAATGTCAGATCATCACTTCTTTCTTTGGTCTTTGCAGTGGCACCACTCACGGGAGCCACATCCTTGAGAAGAACAGAAAAGTCTCCTCGCAGGGCCTCTGCCCGTGCTGCTCCCTGTCAGGAAGGCAATTCCCCCCAAACTCCACCGGCTCATCCCACACCTCCCTTTAACCTATGCTCAAGTTTCTCTCTCAGAGATGCCACCCACACTGCCTTGTTTAAAATATAGCTTGCTGCAGGTATTTGCAGTTCTCTTATCTAGGAATACTTTCATTTGTTGCCCATAACCCTGATCCTCCCTAATACACTGTATTTTGTACTTATTCAGTGTGTCTATTGTCTGCTGTCATTTCTCCCACTAAGACATAACTCCAAGAGGGCAACTACTTTGTCTCTTCAGCAACACTCCTCTCATTCCTGTAACAGCTTCTGACACATAGTAGGTGCGCAATAAATGGTTGATCATGTGACTGTCCGTTACTACACCTTCCTGAGACCCGAGGTCTATTTTGAGCCGTAATACCGAGAGTTTCCCATGGAGATATTTGGCCAAAGATAAAAACAACTTCCAGGAAGAGGAAGAACCCAGGAGAGAAAGTCACAAACCCTCTTTCCCTCACTCTCCCTTCCCCCTCCGTGCACAGAAGCTGCAGAAAGCTCCTGAGGTCCAGACAGGTCACGCGCAACCAAGAAGGGTGTGGTTAACCCGGGAACTCTACAGTCAGACCGTGTGAGTTAAATCCAGCTCTACCAGTTAGGGTGAGTGACCTTGAACCTCTCTGTGCTTCTGTTATTCCACCTGTGAGGAGGGGGATAAGTTAGCTCCCTCAGAGATAATGGTCACAGGAGATGACACCTCTAGGCCTTTCCCGCTGTGTCTGGTACATGGTGAGGGTTCAAGAAATTGAAATGATTTTACTCATCGGATTTCCTGAGGCTGAGAGGCTTCTGGGGACATAGATGACAGAGATAGGAGTGCAGCTAGAATCACACACGGGGATCATTGCTCTGTATCCTTCAGGAACCTGCACCTCCCCCTTTTTGTCTCCTCAGCCCATCCAGCCTGGAGGAGGCCTCCAAGGAGGAATGCACAGAATTCCACTCCCAGATTTCCTGAGGCCTGCACGGATGCTGGATGACAGCGCATGGGGAGAGGTGCAAACCCAGATGTGGGCGCAAGGACAGATGGAGACGGTCTAGGTGAGGCTCTGTGTTTCCATCCCCTTCTTTCCTCCTCACCCCCCTGCAGCACGAGAGCAGGACTCCAAGAAAATCATGCACACACTTTACTCTCTTACCAAGGGAGAAGAATTTTTTGTCCAATAGTTTAAGAAAGGAAGGGGAAATTTTAGAGAAGTAGAACAGGAAGGAAGACAGTGGAGAGACTCTGAAAACTAAATATTTGTCAATGTGCACTTCATGCAGACTGAGAATTGATTGGAGAGAACAATGGAGAAAACCTTTTCAAAAATCCCACGAGTGTGTGTGTCTGCACACTTCTCACACCTGTACATGCATGCACATGCACCACAACATGCATTTGCAAATATATGTGAAGAGCTGTCCTGGCTTGCTAGTATACAAGGAGTATGTTTTGAGGATTGTGTATGTAAAATGCTCATAAAAATATTGGTACATAGTAACCATCTAACACATCATTAACAAAAGTTTGTGAGCACACAGCAGAATTTCAACCCGGTCCAACCTCCTGCTGTCTGTCCTAGGTCTCTGTCCTGTCTCTAGCATCTAATTGTTTCTCCATATGTCTTAACTTTTCTGCAAGAGCCTCCACTGAGTAGCCCACAGCATAACGTGATAAAAAGAATGAATGCTGGAGTTCTTGGCCCTAGGCTTCAATTCTGGCATCTCCACAGATGGCACTGGGCAAATTATGTTCTCTGCCTCGGTTTCCCCTACTGCAAAGCAGGGGCAACAATCATCATTATAAACAGTCATGTTGTGAAGATCAGCCAAGTTAACACATTCATCAAACTATCATCTGTTTTGATGTCCCTGATAACAGTTGCAGGTGACAGATTACAGAAAATTTTCTCAGTTCCCTGATTCGGTGCTCTCAAGTAATGTCTAGTCTTGGATCTCTGTTGTAGCCCCATGGGGGCTTACCCTTATTTACCTGAATGCCCTAAAACTCCTTGGCTAAAGAGGCATCCAGGGCAGGGAGGGGGGATCTTCCCATGGCCATGCTCACCTGTGAGTCCCAGCAGTAAAGCCAGCAGCAGGCAAGGAGACTGGTGGGTCCAGGAGGCAGGGGTAGGCATCCTGGCACTGGAGGAGCCTGTTCTGTCCGGGTGTGTGCTGGAAGCCCAGACTCTGCTCTGTGAAGCAGAGCCCTGCCTGCGATACAAGAGGAAGCTCATGTCATTGGTGAAATGACGTGGTGTTGACACACTTCCACTGACATGTTGAGATAAGAGGGCAGCTTCAAGGTCAGGAGTTCCTCGCATGTTTTCATGGAAATTGTGCCTCACTTCGGGGCCTGTGCTCTCTCCACTTGCTTGCTACCCCACTTGGGGTCACGGAGGTTCTACATTCAGTCGCTCTAGGCAAAAGAGAATCCCATAGGGGTAAAGGGTGTGTCCCACATGCCCATGCCCAGGGCTCTAGGGTGACTGGCTGGTAGCCAGTCTGTGCCGCCTCTACCAAGAGCTACTCTCAGTCCAAGGGCCCGCTGAGGACTACAATAGTGAGAAACTAGGAAAGGTGTTTAAGAAATCATTTGCCTGTAGTGGTCTGTAACTGAGCATCCAGAACATGGAGCCGTTATCACTACAGGTGACCAGTGCGAGCTGTCCTGGGAGAGACTGGACTGGCAAAGGCAGACCAGCTAAGGTTCATGGGTTCCAAGTGCCTGTGGCTCACTGAAGCTCAGGTGAGGATTTCCTTGCAGTGAGTAGAATTTCCCTTCCGTCCCTTTGTTACCCAGCAGGGAGAGGTATACCCCAGAGCCCCTTATCCTGCCTGCTCTAAATAGGTTCTGCCATCTGCCATATCAACACAAAACATGGGAGACTTTAATGGGAAGGAACTTTGATACAATTAGTAAACAATATAGGAAAAGCAAAGAATATGGTTTCTAAATCATGCACCCAAAGTTACTCATCCCTTCATGAGTAAAAATCCACCCAAATGGGATTGGCCCAAAGCAAGGCCTGAAAGCCTGCCACAAGCTAAAGCACCTTCCAGTGGGGACCCACAGAAAAGGATCAGAAACTACCAGACAAGTCTGGGAGGAAAAGAGCAAAATCAGAACCAATATAAAAGTTGCCATTGTTATCCTCCCAGGGGTCTCATACCCACCTCTGTTTCAGCCAGCCCACACCAAAAGGCAAGCACAGTTTTTCCCGTGTTTCTCTCTCCATGTGCCTCGTCCAGGTCCCTGTCTCTCCATCCTGCTTCCTTCCTTCTTCCATCCCTTCTGCAGCTTCTTCTTCTCTTTTGCCCCACCCTCCTTTGGGTGGGGCAGGAAAACTGGAACCTCCCCCTTTCGTGGGGACCACCCTGTTACCCCTTGACACAAGTTCAAAAACCTCACACTGTGTATAATGTAATCATTTGGGGGGGGCTATTTTTTTTCTTTACTAGGTCTAGTATGACTCCTTCTGGCAATACACTAAAAAGGGTCATAGAAAATATAACAGGGTGATATCAGGGTGATGAGGATAGAAAGTGTGCACGTGAGAGGTATGAGGTTGGGGTAACTGAACAGTGTATATCCATCAGCCCTAGTGGGGAGACAATAAATAATTTCTAAAGAGAGTAATCAAAGCATTGCAATACAAGTAAATTGTCTCTGGGATTTGGCAGTAAAATCTAAAGCACTCAGTTAAAGCATTGAAAAGAGTTACTTCTGGGAGGAGGAAATGGTGGGAGGTTAGGTAAATCTGGCTTTCCTATTAGAAATTGTGGAACTACTTGACTTTCAAACCATGTGCATATGTACCTCTGATGTAGGTAAATATTGATTTTCGATCATTAGGTTAATGTTATAATGGTTACCCCCAAAGAAAACATACTAACAGTACTAGTAGGTGTCCTGTGTTCTTGCTGGATATAAGATCAATGCTCGAACACAATTATAATCCTATACCACAGTCAAGAATCATTGAAAACAGTAATAATACATTTTTATGTCCACAGACTGGAAATTGTTAAAGCTAGCTCTAACTAGAGACTCATCAAACCATCATGGGAAAACTCTAAAATCATGAATTAAAAGTCATCAAAGCAAAACTAAAATAGATGAATATCATGAATGGGAAAACTCAATCCTGGAAAGATGTCAGCTGACTAAAATAATACGTAAATTCAATGTGATCAAATAATAATTCTAAAAGGGTTTTTCATGAAACTTGACAACGTGATCCTAAGATCACTTGGATCCAAAGAGTCATGACAGTTTTAAATAAGAAAAGGTGGGAAACTTTGCTCAATATGGTTTCAAAACGAATTACATGGACTTATCTTGTCCGTGTAGCTTTGACTAAGAGATGAGCAGCTCAGTGGAAAAAGATCTCATAGGAAGAACCACACAAGTATATGGAAACTTGATATAAAGTGAAGGTGGCTGTGAGCATCAGTGAGTCTTTTTTTTTTTTTCAAAGCTTTATTTATTTATAAAGGCACCGAGTACAGTCAGAAGCGCAGGAGGGTGAGCGAATTCACCAGGGCTGGAGTCGGGAACAGAACAGGCAGAGTGACGAAATACACTGCTGAGGGGAGCAGTGGGCGTCAGGAGAGGTCTGCGCGCCATATGGGACCCTCGCTGTTGGCCAGGGATCAAACCGGTGCTGCAGAGGCTGCAGGCAGCTTCGCAGCCTAGTGCTCAACCGCGGGCCACCAGAGGAGGCCCCGATCAGTGAGTCTTGATAATAAATTATAACATGACAACCACTTGCACGCGCACACACACACACACACACAGAGTGAATCAGTGTAGCTAGATCAAAAGCATGAATTAAAAAAGCAACACTTGATCAGAAAATGAAAACCGTTTTGCACAACAAGGCCCCCAAATGACACAACATGCAGCTCTGCAGGCCATGCTAGAAGGGCGAGGGGTGCTGTCCCTTGTGGGGGAGGACACTAAGATAAGAGTCTTATTGGGAAGTTGTACTTCAAAGCACCAGGTAAAGTTTCAATATCCAGAATGAGAAGAATTAATAAAGTTTGGCATAGTCTTCTATTGAAGACTACAGAATAGTGGAAAAATCAATCAGTGGAGCTGCATGCATCAAGATGAATAAATCCCACAAGCTGTGTTAAGCAATAAACTATAGGAGAACGTCCCGAGTGCTGTAAACTGGATAATTGCATTTATAAAACATTTAGAATATGCAAAGTAATATTAAATATTGCTTAAGTATGTGTATCTATGTTATAAAAGCACAATCATATCTGAGGATACAAAACACCAAATTCAGGGTAGTATTTCTTCAAAGGATCAAAAGAACACGATATTACGGAGCCTCCCTTGTGGCTCAAGGGGTTAAGCACCACAATATGAAGCAATCTGCAGCCTCTGCAGCATGAGTTCGATTCCCAGCTGGCCAGGGAGCTCCCCACATGGCGCAGCAGACCTCTCCTGTGTCACCTGCTGCTCCCGTCAACAGTGTGTTTCAGCCTGTTCTGTTCCCCACTCTCTCTCTGGTGATTCCTCTCACACCCCTGTATCTCTGGCCAGCTCTTGCATGCATAAAAAAATACATCTTAAAATAAAAAACAAAAGAACATGATATTAGTATTTTGCAAAGATAGACCAGAAACTCCATGAATAATTATAGAAAAATCCTTGCATATTTCAGAATAGAATAATGCGTATTCAACCTGTGATCTCAGTACATATGTATGAAAACTTCTTGAGAGTTCAGTCAAGATAGGCTGTGTGCTTGCAGGAATATATCTCTTTCATCTTGGTTGTCCAGTCTGTGTTATGTGAAGCTGATATGTGTAGGCACAGTCTCCATGTGCCTCTGTGTTTCTGTGGTTCCTGTTGTAATTTCTCCTCTTCCATTTATATGGTAGTTACTTGAGTCCTCTCCCTATTTCTTGTTGAGTCTAGGAAGGGAGGAGGCTGCAGAGCTGGAGGTGCAGGCAGCAGGGAGGAGGGAAGAAGCTGCGGGAGACATGTCACATTTAATGACCTGCTCCTGCTCAGGACGCACTCCCTGTGTATCTACATGGCTCTGGAGCTGCTCTCTTGGGCAGTCCCCGAGATAGGCCTCTGCACCTCAGCCTTTGCTCTCGCCCTTGCGCTCACGCCCAGCCCTTCCGCGCATCACACAGAGCCCCAGAAACACCTCAGAGCAGCAAACCTGGGACTGCTCCACACTCCCCTCACTGTGGATTCCTTTCTACCAATGAGGCCCCCATATTCAAATAATGTAGAGAAGGTCTCCAACGGAGCCCCCCACCCAGGCCCTCCATTCAGGCCCTTGCCTGTATCTTCCACACCACCCAGGGCTCCCCAGTCACTCTGGAACACTCTCTGCAGTTCCCCAAACACTTTCTGGATGCTGGGAATGTTTGAGGGACCTAAGCCTCCTGAGGGTGTTCAGGGAGGTGTGTCAGCTTCTCTTTTTTCCTGGGGGCCCTGACCACGTGTGACCTGGGGGCTGCCCTCCACCTGACCTTGCCCCTCCCAGGACAGACCTTGGCCTGCCCTCCCTCCCCAGGACTTACAGTCAGGGCCTCTGCTTCCTGTGCATGTAGGAGGCAGAGACACCCACCAGCAGCAGCACCTTAGAGCCCAGGAGCAGAGTGATGAGGAGTGGCATCGACTGCTCTTTGCCTGGAAGACAAGGGACAGGAGGCGCCATTAGGGGCCACACTGGAGCCCTTCCCTGGGCCTCCACTACCCACTGGGCTCCCCTGGTCCGTCAACCCTCTGAAGCTTAAACCTGCGTCCTTCTCTAGATTAAGGCAGAAATCAGGGTAAAGAGCTTCCTGAGGTGCCATAGGGAGATGACCGTGCTCTACTGATTATGAATGTGAGGTTCAGGGAGTTGAGGGGGCCCTGCAAGAGCAGTGTGACCAAAATAAAGAAAATCCATCACTGTCTGGTAGGATGATGCCAGATTTGCTCTTTGCACAAGAAGACTCAAACCTCAGGGTCTCGTGAGTGACCTACCACATGTGCGAGGAGAGCTTGGGCGGCTCTTGGGGGAGGGAGTTCAGGCCGCCCGCTCCCCAGGGATGGTCTCCATGGTGGAGGGGGCCCTGGAGTGTCTGACCTGTGAGAACAGCAGGCTGGGGAGCACCTGGTAGGTGAGGAAAGGGGCTGATGTTTGGGCGGGGTTGCAATTGG